GATGTGCTTTATATCCCATACTTAAAGAGTAATATCTTTAGTATCGGACAAGCTGAAGAAGGGGGTTGTACAATATTGATCAAACATGGATTCTTATCTATATTTGAGCCGGATGGTTCGCTGTTAATGAAGGTTCCAAGATCCCCTAATCGTTTATATAAAATCAATCTAAGGATTGGGACACCAATCTGTTTACTGGCCAAGATAGATGATCCAGCATGGTTGTGGCATGCCCGTCTTGGTCATGTGAATTTTGATACAATAAAACGACTAGGGACCAGCAAACTAGTCGATGGAGTACCGGCCATTGACCACCCTTCACAGATGTGTGAAGCTTGTTTGGCAGGGAAACACTCACGACAAAGTTTTCCTGGCCAAACAACTTTTAGAGTTGAGAAACCATTAGAACAGGTTTATGCAGACCTGTGTGGTCCCATAACACCTGCTACTCAGTCTGGAAACAGGTATATTCTGCTGATTGTTGATGATCACAACAGGTTTATGTGGTCTTTCATGCTAAAAACCAAGGGTGAGGCATTTGAACAATTCAAGAAATTCAAGGCTTTTGCTGAAAATCAATATGGAAGGAAAATAAAGGTCCTTAGGACTGATCGGGGAGGAGAGTTTACTTCCAACGAGTTCAAACAGTTTTGTGAATATGCTGGCATCACAAGACAGTTAACTGCACCCTACACACCACAGTAAAACGGTGTCGTTGAAAGGAGGAATCGAACGGTGATGAGCACAACAAGGAGCATCCTTAAAGCAATGGATATGCCACAAAGTTTCTGGGCTGAAGATGTACGTCACTCTGTTTATGTTTTAAATAGGCTGCCCACAAGAATTCTGAAGAATCAGACACCATATGAGTCTCTAAAAGGTCGGAAACCAAATCTGGATCATTTACGGGTGTTCGGGTGTGTTGGATATGTAAAGGTGCCTTCAAATCAAGTAGATAAACTTGATGAAAGAAGTATTCCCATGGTATACTTGGGAAAAGAACCAGGAACCAAGGTGTATAGAATGTATGATCCTGAAGAAATGAGGCTGGTGATCAGCCGGGATGTAGAGTTTGATGAAGCACGCAAATGGGATTGGGATTTACAACAAGAATCTAATCAAGAACCCAATCACAAAGGAGAATTTGTGATACACATGAATTCAGTTGAAGATGTTTCAGCAGCCCAAAATCTTGAAGATGAGCCTGCTGAACTTGGCAGCCCACTCAGCCCATTTTTGAACAGCCCACAAAGCAGCAGATCGACCAATGTGGACAGCATAACCCAATCTGATGCTAGTAGTCCTGAAATAACAGTAAAGGGGCGAGGACCTATGTTGCCTC